AGCCTCGTTTACACTATACGTCTTAGTTTAAAAATTTTATTTTAGAACGAAAACGATCCACGTCCACACTGGCATTTTATCATATTTTTTTCTGAACAGATCTTCACTGAAAACGCACACGTGACCACACACATGCGCACATCTGAGTTCCAGACAGTCAGCAGGTGCACAAAAACCCCAGAGAGCAGTGCACGTCGAACAGTTTATCAAGGATGTACTGCTGGTTCACATCTCACCATAGTTACTAAAGGTGATATTCAATTAATCTCGTCTCCATCTAACGACTCTTCAGTCTTTTGAATCTATCAGGTAACATGTTACAGCGTCAATACACTGCTTTAATCTTTCACTTTTATGCTTGTACTTAGTAATTCTAGGAAAAACCTCAGATACTGTTAGTTGGTTGCTGTTGGTTGTGCACCTTTTTTACCAACCAAGTTTGTGGACGCCATTATACCGACACAGATCACTCTGCCTATTCTAGCCAGAGTCCCGCGGGAAAAGTGATTGCATGTGGTAATTTGTGAATAACTTATCTTTATTTTTTTTACAATTTGATTATGAGTAAAACAAAGACCATGCGGCTCAGGTAGTTGAAAAGGTAGGCTAAAAATAATTAATTTGTTATGAATTAATGAATTATTCATAAATAATTAATTACAAAAACAAATAAAAACAAATGCTATGAATGTTAGTTAACCTAAAAATGAAAACACAGTCATCATTCACATATTTCTAAACCTGTTTCAATTTTTGTTTCATATTTGCAAAACACACACACACACACACACACACACACACACACACACACACACACACACACACACAAAGATTCTGTGTTATTTAAATATCTTCTTTTGTGCTCTATAATTACATGAGGCTAAGCAAACGATGACAGAATCTTTATTCCTTGGGTAAACTATAACTTGAAGCAACATCACATGATGACAACCAGTGTCTTGACTAACTGGCATGCTTCATCAATGACCACGATATTACAATAACCAGCTGTAGACACACTTGTATCAGCACAGACTGTGTGACTGTTTGGATTTTCCCCAGCAGCAGGGGAATTCACACAGCAAATTAGATCTCACTCTGAGCTTCCTGTATGCACAAAATAATGCTGCAAAATACCACTACTGCACAATGACTAAAATCAAGAAAATACGACGAGACAGGGGACGCTCTGCTGCATGACAGTTTACTGATACTGCACATATCATCAGCTTCTGTCTCAAATGTGAGATATAGCAGTGATGAAAGATCTACTGTATCAGGAAGTAATTCTGAAAATGCCAATAGTTTTGACAAATGTACATCTTCGTCTACGATGTTTTATTTGACTAAGCTTACTTGATTCCGATCATTTAATCAATGAGGTCTATAAACCTTTAACAAATACACCTCATCTCATCTTACTATTGGCCTAGTTCTTTAATGCAGAAGTGCACTCGTTTTTGCGATGGTTTTAGAACTTCCTAGTCATTTCTCCCATAGGCAACTGAATCGGAATGATAAACTGCAGAGAACGGTCAAACTACTTTCTCTACAAACGAGTGTTTACATGTCTATACAGATAAAGCAGAATAATATAAGAAGAAAATATAAGTTTGCAACATCAAGCCGCATAAAGCGCTGTTTTTAACGTCTAAAAATAAATAGAAGTGAACGAGACCGGAAGTCTCCAGCCAAAAAGATTCAAATGTCTGCGCCCGCTCGTACGCGAAGAATAAGGTGAATTTGTGGTATCCACATTTTCAGCAGTGTTATGTTTTTCATTTACTTCACCCATCACAAAGTATTTTCTTTCAAAAAGATTCCAGGCTATAAACCAACCCAGTGAGCTATGATGTGAAACAAAACGTTACAAAATTAGATGTGAAGCCAAGAAGACAAAAACAAAAAGTACAATGTTGTACTAATCATTTAAATTAGGAAAAAACTACAATTCCAAGTATTAGGTATTATGACTGACATTAAAACAATGGAGAAAGACAACTTACAATTTAACTACTGTTATTTGTTATATACACAACAAACACATTTAAGTTTTGCTTGAGAGCACAAGGAGGTCAACTTGACTGCATCATTCAGTGCTTCATGGAGATCCATAGAGCTAAAGATCTCTTTTGACCTGATTTGCTCACTGCAGCACTTTGGTGAAAATGTTCTGTACTGCTTCATGGGTAATGCAGTTTTTCTGCATAAATATGCTCATACATTTGATTGCTTAAAAAAATTAATTCAATAAATGCAAAAGGTTAAGCAGTTAAAAATAACTTTGCCTATGGAAAACCTGAATGCACTTCAGGAAACCGATTTGTTGCGCTCTATGCAGGGTTCACATAGGTCATGGAATTTCTTGAATGAATGTCAGGGATTTTTAAAAGTTCCATTCCACACATTCAAAGTCCAGGAATTTTTAAAGTTTTTAAGTCATGGAATATTTTTGTTTGATGCTTCAAATTATTGCTTCTTTTACTGCACTGTTTCAAGCCTATTGTTATGTTTAGGTAGGCATAAGACGATATCCAATTTCAAGGCTTAGACGATTTGGAAAAGTCAAGATTTTAAAAACGCTGGAATTTTTTGTTATACTGATCCTAAGGTATATGTATATATTTTATGTGTTGTAAAGAAATCCGTGTTTTTGAAACTCCTGAATAGAGCAGAAGTCAATGATTTGTTTTAACTATCAAGCCTGACATGTTTACATGTTTATACTCTGTTCAATGGGGAAAAAGTTTTATTTATTTATTTTTTTTTTTACCTAGACATTTAAAAATAACTTATTTTAGAGCAGTAATTACAATAGACCCTTTCCACAAGCCTGTTATAATGCGTTAAACAATCATCAGTATCTTAAATCATTGAAATTTTTTAATATTTACATTTTTAAAAAATGTGTGAACATTTATAAGTATTTAGGTATGTATGTATTATATCATCTTTGCTTCAAATGACATAAACGAATTACTGCTTGAGCAAGGCGTTCTTAATGCAGGGTCTATGGGACAGGATAGTGAATTTGACATTATTCTCTCCTCTGGCTGCCGTCATCAGTGTCACACTTTTTTTCACCTTTTCTGAAAGTCTTTAAAACATCATCTTGGAGATTTTCTTTTATTTTTGAGCAAATAAGATATTTGTAAATAAGATATTTGTATAAATAAAAATATTTGTTGTATTCTACCATTCACTGCACCCAACTATGACGACTTCCGCTACTGAGAAACCCAAGAATGTGAAAAGGGTCTATCCCTTGATACCATAAAAGCATGGTATTTTTATCAAAAAGAATTATTGGAGAATTACTACTTCAAAGACTAAGTGTTAAATGTAGACAACAAAAAAGCTAAATTTACTGTCCCATCGAGTTATCAAATATGGAAGAGGGAGCACTTTACAGCCACACAAACAGTAATTATTACATCATTAATAATAAATAATCCATTGCTGTTCTCATAGTGACTATTAAAGTCATGGAAAAACTATACATTCAAGCTAAAACCATTTTAATACTGTTTTTTATTTTATTTTACCATATTACTTTAATATTGTAAAATCGTATACAAACACAACAGCAACCAATCTTTCCGTTCATTGTCATGAAACTCAGCTTAGTGGGTGAACGTCAGGAAATTTAAAGATTAGCTTAAAGTGGGAACCCTGTCTATAGCACTTATTTGGATTGTTGTTTTGTTTTGAGACAACCACCTGATCCATGAGGCACATGACATGTAAAACAGGGCCCTCTAAAATAAAAAAGGTATCACATCTCTAAACATTACTGATAGGCACTGCAAGGGGCTCTCTAGAGACAACGTTAATGCTGACTGTCTTTGCCTGCACATCCATTAATATTAAACAGAAAGTCGTCTATAAACATGAAGCTTTGTCAACACAGGAGAGCTGGCAAAGTCCAGTTGTAATACCAACTTATAAGCAACATGAACATACTTTCTTAGGAGCAATCACTGTGTTCATGATGTAACACATCCAATGTAAACACCAGCTCAGCGTTATGCACTTCATCAATACTGCTGGATGAAAACGATGCAGCAGAGATAGACAGGCCTTACAGTAAAACACAATGATCAGGTACAAGACGCAAACTGTCAGCTTCTCTGTTAGCTGTTACTCCTAGAGCTAACGAATATTAGATATAATGTCATCGTCGGATAACGCTGTGTTGTCATGCACTATCAGTGGACATGGTTACAATCAAACCTCCACAGCTGATCATGTATCAGAGTCGGACTGTAACATTGTAGGTAAACAGGTGACATCAGCACGAGCTCATCGTCAAACTCCTCTTACCTGACGTTTAAATATCCCGGTTTCAGCCGTCCGCCTTCGATGGCATTTGGAGAGAGATTATTCCAGTCAAGCTCTCGTGGCGCTGTTAGTGATGATGGTGTTTATTTGACATTGTCGGATGGGCTCAGCTCAAGCCAGCTCTCACTCCGCATTACTACCGGTTAATGGAGGGACAGCCGCCTCCTCTTCGCACTTCAAACAGGCTAGGATTAATCTCGATCGAGACGAAGACGAAAACACGGGGGGAAGAATCCGATAATACTAGTTAAAGCCGAGGTCGTTGCTAAATTTCTAATAAGTGTGGGTATTATTTACAGTGTGTGTGATTGTGTTAAACCAAACATGCTATGCAACAGGAGAGAAACGTGCTCTCCTACTGGCCAAGGAGTGACAGCTACAGCTTTTCATTGGTCTTTTTAGTTGTCTTTTACATAACCCCGCCTCCTGGCGTGGGGTTTTCCAATAGTTTGGTTGAGAAAATTGAGGAACTGGCTGTGTGACAGGTTGTACATGAAGGCTTTTTCCTTTTCTGTTCTTTCAAGGATATACATTTGAATTCCTGCAACTAATGTTATATAATGTAATTAATGTATTTTGTTTATACACCATGTTCTACATGGGTCTCACGAGTAAACAAGGGTTTTTAATAGTTTCTAAGAAAGAAAAAATAAACAAATGAATAGGAAATCTGCAGTTTAATAAGTCATAGAATATGTACTTAAAGCCATTCAAAAACCAGCACAACAAAACCTGAAATTATATGACGCAATTAACAGACCCTTAAATAAACTGATTATAGCCTACAATACAAAAAACAACCACCAACATATCAAAATAATACACATGCTAACTGTAAACTGAGGATGAGTACAAGTATCAACCCAAACAAACATGTTTTCATGTACAGTACAGTTTTGTTGGTTGACATGTTACTCATTTATAATGCTATGAGACTACACACACACACACACACACACACACACACACACTCAAAAAAAAAGGAATTTTTTTTTTTAATAAACTACATATATGAAATCTGGAAGAAACAAGACACATCTCGAAGACACATTCAAGGCAAAACATCCCAGTCAATCTCCCCAGCTGACATTCGAATCAGTATTCTGGATCGCGAATGCTAACTTTGACTAGCTAAACCATGACTTTCTGCTTGTGTGTTTATGGCTGCCAGTTTATTTGTTTTTTAAAGGAAAATGATGACCGTTGGATTTGGGAGTTTGATGGCAGGCAATACAGAGCCTTCATGCCCTCAGAAGGTCAATCTGCATTCTTGCTGGCTCAGCTGCTCTTCTTCCTGTGGGCTCAGATTATTTCCTCTCAGCCTTTAAGAGCACAAAGCAAAGAGTCTTTGTAGTAAGGATATAATATTATTCAAAACACAAACCATAGACATGGATAATATAATATTTACTACACACACACACACACACACACACACACACACACACACACACACACACACACACACTAAAAAGTCCAAATTAAAACTGTAAATGTTTTAATGTGAAATTCTAATTGAAAGTCTAACTCCACATTTCAATCAATTACTTTTTCAAAGTAAAAACCAGTGTATGGTAAGTTAAAATGCTGGGAAATATCCTTACCAGACTTTCTTAACACTAGTGTTCATTTTCAGTGCCTCTATCAGACAATCAACCCCCTCCTTGCAGATGGAGTTTTTGTTTAACCTGGTTAGGAGTAATAGAGTTAGATCATCCTAGTCTGACTCAGAAAATGAAAACTAAAAAAAGCTGAAGCCACTCACCACAATTCTTCCAGACTTTTGTTCTGTCGGATAAATTTAGCCAGAGCACATGCACCGGCACTGCCCACACCATTATCCACCAGACTGAAACAAACCAACGCAACACCACCACAAAAAATAAAACATGCTGCACTGAGTGACTCACGGCTCTGCAAATTTTATATGATCTAGGCAACCTTTTTTCTTTGCTTATCATCATTTTGCATGTTGCAAAATATGTTAAAACATATGCATTACAGAATACAGATTTATGATCAATATATACAATATTACCTTAACCATATTAGTGTTTTGCTATTCGTCAGCGCATCCGCCAATACCTCAGCTCCCCTGTCCCCAACTTTATTACCCCATAATCTAGAAGTAAAAAGAAATTGTGATTTAATATAGGTATTAAATAAAAATACCATACAATATTTCATTCCTTTCATAGACCTCACCCCAGAAACTGTAAAGATTGGTTGTAGCTTAGGCCTTCTGCCAGCTGCTCTGCTCCAACTGATGTGATGTTATTATTTCCAAGCCTGCAGTACAAAAGCATTGTTTATTTATTGGTTTTCTAACATTTCTACATGTGCAGTACAACCTGAAAAAGAATATTATTAGAATGATCAGCACTTCATAAGCCAGAACTAGCACATATATTAATGAAAGAACCACTAACCTCAAAGCCAGGAAGTTCTGCTTTGATTTTAGCAGGCAAGAAAAGTATTGGGTGCAAGTGTCAGTGAGCTTGTTGTTGAAAAGCCTGGGGAAATATTGAAGCAGTAATCAAACTTGGCTGTTCTAAGTATAACAATACAACTTGGTTCATTGTTATTCATTAATTGCAGAGCTAATGTTTGTGTTCTTACGCTATTTTCTGGAAGTTTTCACACTCTATTCCCTTTTCCAGAAGTTTTCGTATTCCTTCATCTGATATGTTGTTGTTCCTTAAGCTGCCAAATTTAGAAGATGCTTAAAAATCATTTTGCTAATTATTTAAACAGTTTTCAGAAAAAAAGGAAAATGAACAATTTGTTAAGACACTACTTTTTTCATTCTTAACCTGTAGTTCTTCTGTGGAGCACAAGGGCAGACAACTTTGCTGACTTTACTTGCATTAAGAAAATAAAAGCAGCGAGGCTTTTCGTGTTCCACAGAAGACATACACACATACACTGTAAACCCTGCTGTTGTCATTACTAAAGATATAATTTATTATAACTTGTCATCAAAACTTAAACAGGTGTGTTTAACTTCCTCATTAGGCAGTAAAAAGCTTTTACTTAATGTTTTAAGTTCTCTGAACTTAGAATTTAAATTTCTTTAAATGATTCACCATATTTCTGTTTAAAATGATTGATTACGCTTGAAATTCTGCCTTGACAGCCATGCTGATTGGTTGATATATGTTATATGACACAAGGTGGTCATTTTGCTTGTGATGCTGAATTTTGCTAAAGCGCAGCAAGACAGAGGCACTACCTGAACCCATCTGACGAAAGATTAGTAAATTAGTAAGTAGATATTTAAATGCTTCTATACATTTTTCTCAATTGATATACATCCAGGGCCGACAAAGTGGCACAGTGGGTAGCGCAGTCGACTCACAGCAAGTTGTGGTTCAAGTCCCGGCTGGATCAGTTGGCATTTCTGTGTGGAGTTTGCATGTTCTCGTGTTCGCATGGGATTCCTTCCCCACAAGTCCAAAGACAGGCACTTATAGGTGAATTGGTTAAGCTAAATTGTCCGTAGTGTATGTGTGTATGTCTTGGTCCTCCAGATTAGTTGTTGAGCGTTGGGCTAACGACCCACCTTGTAAAAATTAGATGTGAAGAAACACCAACATGGTGCGGCTAAACATTAACTTCGATATAAATGGCTTGGGAGTAAGTAAAAAATATAAAAGCTGAAAAATGTGGAAGTTTAGTCTTAGCCATTTTAAGTTATCTGTACTTAAACATTTAAGTTAATTCAATGAAGAGACTATATATGATCAACTCAATTATTTGAGTTGTCGATTTCCCATTACTCAAACAAACTGAGGGAATCACTTTCCTCAAATCATTTGAATAGTCTCAACTTATTAGGGTTTACAGTGTACAGGTTTGAAATGATGAGGTTGTTTACATAATAGAATAGGTACAGTAGATGACATCATTTTCCCCTCTGAGTGAACTATGCCTTTAAGTGATGAAAAAAGCAAGCATGTGCAAGTTAAGTCAAAATGTCATCTTACTAAAGGGAGTGGCACATAGGCAGACACGGCAGAAGCTGCTCCACACCCACATCTCCCACTGAATTGTTGTCCAACTGTAGTCCAACTGGTTTGCGCAAGTTCTTGAGCACGTATGCCAGCGCAGTGCATTCAACAGGCCCAATGTTACAGTAGGTGAGCTTCAGGTGCTCAACATCCAACTTAGCCATGGCATCTTGGGCAATACTGTTGTCTTGCAATTCATAGATGCACTTGATCAGCCAAACAAAACTTGGCATGGCATGCATGCTCTTCTTTTCACCCTCTACAGGACGAGGAATGGACTTGAAATGTCTCTGCATCCTTTTGGACAATGACTTGACTACCTGCTTAACATTGCGTTCACGCACAGCAGCAGGACAGCACTCCAGGAGGAGATTATTGTGCCGCTGGGATAAAAGTCCTGACACAAACTGAGCTGTAATCTGAAGGTTTGCTGTCTCTGCCTCATGGGACTCCTCTACTGAATGATCCATACATTGTCCCAGACAGCTTTGAGACAAGCCTGACACCTGCCTGTTGCGAGGCTGAAAGAGTCTGGAGATAGCAGAACGATCATTGTTGCGATTCAGAATAACATACAGAGCAGCAAAAAAACACTGTAAGGTAATGTGCAGAAATTCATAACGTTTACAATCATTCACAGATATGTCACTGCAGTAAATGAGGAAGCCTATGCCGACATCTTGCTCTGTGATCCTGTTTCTCTGTAGCTCATAACCTGAGAACACATAGCAGGAGGTTTGCAGACCTTCTAGTGCCAACTCTCCGAGCTTTAACACTGTGTCCAAATGTTCAGCCAACCAGGCCTTTCCCAGACCACTTTGGGGCTGAGATGACTTTCGCTGAAAGAAATGCTGTAAGACGAGGAGGTAGACATCGGTGATGGTCTGAGGAATACCATCTTGACCAGCCAGGAGTTCCTGGTAGCACTTGATCACAATCCAGCAGAAGACAGGAATGTGGCAAAGACCTAGTAATGCAGTGTTACCCTGGACAGACTCTATGACTCTTGTAGCCATTGCAGGGTCACTATAATGTTTCTTAACAAAGCAGTCAATACCTCCAGGAGAAAACCCCTTGAGGAGCACTTCTTTGCGGAGATAGCGCTTCAGTGATGGGCCCACAGCATGTGGCCTGCTGGTGACCACCTTCATAACGCCCTTCATTAGGGTACCCTGCAACAGATTGAAAAGCAATACAGGTATAGGCACTTGCTTTGTAGGGCAACAGTGACGTTCTTCATCTGTGAAGCCCAGTTTAAACTCGTCGAGTCCGTCAAAGGTAAAGAGCACCAAATGAGGGTGGTCTAGGATGAATTGGAAGACCTCATCCTGGTTTCGATCAGGCCAGCAGCAGTGCAGGAAGAGGAGCTCTTTCAAAGAAAGCTCTCTGTGCTCTGCATTTAGCTTGCGGCAACTGAAGGGGAACAGCAGAAAAGTGTTTAGCAGCAAAGCTTCTCTTGCCCAGAGCAAGTGCAGTCGCTGAACTAATGTGCTTTTGCCACTTCCTGCCTCCCCAGACACAAGAACGGTGTCAGCGTCTTCATTAAGAGTCCCCATGGGACCCACTACATCCTCCAGCCCTAATGTTGTAGTTTCACCAGAGCTATTCATCACTTCAAGATGTCCATCAGTGTAAATGTCATCCAATGAGAAACGCCCTGTCCCGCCATAGGTGCTAAGGAAGAGGGACTGCGATGCAACAGAGCTTCGCAGCTTCTTCTGGTAGACCAGACAATCTGGAGAAAGAATGCAAAGTAAAAGACTACATGTATTGACAAACACATATTCTGTGTATCGTACATTTAAAAGATTATAATTATAACTATAAGAAAATACCAGCGGAAGGTGTATTTTCTTTCTCTGCTGAGATTGGTGAGGTTGGCTCAGGTTGCTCTAGATATTCCAGTAAGGTTTTTGCAGCAGTTTCCCCTTTAAACTTTACTTGGTCTAACAGTCTTCGAACCTGCCAAAAATCCAACATGGTTACTGTATATATGCATTGATCTTATAAGTGAAAGAAATTTAGTATCAACAGGCATAGATTTTATGACAAAGGCAAAGAACATTTTTGGATCACATTCCCTTATTTTTGGGCCCTGTTAAATGCAGTAAATACATATTTTACAATATTCTAATAATTTCACTGCAAAAAAGGCTTTTCTTACTTAGATTTTTTTGTCTTGTTTCTAGTCCAAACATCTAAAAATTCCAAAATCAAGAAGAATTTTCTAGACAAGCAAAACATATTGTCTTGTTTTGAGAAATATTATGCCAATATTAAGTGAGCTTTTCCTAAAACAAGCAAAAGAATATGCCAATGGTGTAAGCAAAATAATCTTACGTCAAAAGAAAAAACAAGATTAATTTGCTTACCCCATTGGCAGATTATTTTGCTTTTTTAAGGAAAAACTCACTCCATATTGGCATATTATTTCTCAAAACAAGACAATATGTTTTGCTTGTCTAGAAAATGCTTCTTGATATAGGCATATATATTGATTATGCACTTAACACATAAGTATAAATCAGCCTTAAGGCAATTACTATGTTACAAAACAACACTGCAAAAAATGCTTTTCTTGCTTTGATTTTTTGTCTTGTTTCTAGTCCAAATGCGGTGCAGCCTGCACATGGACGCATAGCCCTTACCAACGCTGATGATCACCTCTCAAAAAATCTAACTACACATTGCAATGACGCGTATCGGAAGCTCTGTGATTGGGCGGCTTGATATCAATGACGAGTGTGGGTGGGACCGAGAGCGGCACGAGCTGGATGGAGCGAGTGTTTCTAAGTGTGGAGTCCCGTGAAGGAGCTCAAGCTGGAGACTTGTTGTTTTGTGTTTACCTTATGATTAAAGTTGTTGCACGTCTCTAAATAAGCGAGTTTAAGCCACTTATACATTAAGCAACCCAAGCTCATTCTGAAAACGTAGTCCCGTGGACGTTTCTGGAAACAGCGGAATACGTCCCGGGAGGTACGTACGGCTGCATTTATTTTTTTCAAGCAAACGCTGCAGGGCGGTGTGACGCTGTTCCCTTTCGCGCTTGCCGGCTGACCGCTTACCTTCTTGTGGAGGGCTTTCCCGCTGCAACCCGTTTGTCCACACAGCTCACCGTGTAATGTCGGCAGGCTCGAGATGCAATAAAATTGGTTGGGTTCAGGGAAAGAGGAGGGCGGTCAGCCGATTGGCCGGTCGTGCAGTCAATCATCCGGTCAGTCGGACAGCGGCCTCTGGTGGGTTGACGCGAGAACAGCGCGGGCGCGAACCGCACTCGCGAGAGACGTTCAAGATGAGAAAAATCGCACAACAGCGGCCTCTCGCAGATTCGCAAAAACAAAAACTGCAGCCGTACGTACCCGCCGGGACGTATTCCGCGGTCTCCAGAAACGTCCGCGGGACTACGTTTCCACAATGAGCCTGGGTTGACATTAAGGTAGCGGTCAGAAAAACAAAACACCAGCGAAGAAACTCAACACTGAAGAACTTGAACATTTCACTGCCAACTAGCATTTCGGAAGTGTTATTACAGAGCATCAGAAACAGCGTGCAGAAGTTTAAATGCACGGCAGCTTGCAAGCCGTGTGGCGCGGGTTACGCCCGTCACTCAATGCAGAAGTATAAACCAGTCTTTACATATATATATATATATATATATATATATATATATATATATATATATATATATATATATAATATTTATTTATTTCTCCACATTGTAACAGGGCCCCCTTGATCATACAAACTGATTGTCCATTCATAAATCTGGCCCGATGAACATGCTACATAGGCCAAAATGATTTCAGTACAATAGGAAAAGATACACTGCAAATTATATTGAGATAGTCATGTGGCACATGAAATTTCATTATTTGTGTATTAAAACAAACTCATAGTTTAAGGTGGTATTACCTGTTGTGAGGGTGTGTATACAGGTAGCTGCACACTATCACAATCTTTGATGGAGAAACAACCAGTCGTCAGTAAAATATTTAGTGCTCCATCAATATTATCTCTGAGCCGTCTCACTAACATTGGCCTGTCAGCCAGTAATGTTGAAGTTGCAGTGGCTGGTCTGTCCTTGCCCACCATAACGCATCCATTACCAAAACATAGTCCAGCCTTTTGCTCCTCAGCTAATTCTTGCTCAATCGCAGCCAAAAAATAACTGCATGCATCTTCTCCTTTGTCATACACCAAATCTAAAAGTTGCCTGATGTTAGCACACAAGGGTTTCTCTGCCACTCGTACCCTAAGGTAATCCTCCCAGACAAGAACTTCCTGAGCAAGTAGCAGGTCCAAAACACTCTCCAGAGGTTCATCGCTACCTCCACCACATAGAACTGCCAGAAGCTCTGCTCGCTGTTTGAGGATCAACTGTTGAGCGTTCATAGTGAACTGAATCTCGCCTCATAGCCCAGTCACAACAGAACTCAACTAAAAAGATGAGACAGAAAACATTACAACCTCTCACTGAAGAATCATATTGTGGCATAAATTAGATGTCAGACTCAGATGTTACAGTATGTTGTGATATTATTACATTTCTTAAACATCAGCACAAACAGGTAGCCTATCGTGTAAATGTGGGCGTATGTTCCTCATTCTAACATTTATTGTGATGCCAAATGATGTTTATGATTTACAATTAGGCTAAATTTCTATAAAATGGCAGTTCCATAGGGAATATTATTGTAATGGCTTTGTAAAACTATGCATTGCAGACAGAAAAATCGCGATTGAGCAAAAACAAATATACTTACCCTAAGGGACAACTATTTCTGGACGTCACCGCTAAAGGAAGTGTTTCATTCATTATCGTACGTGAATTAAGAACAATTTAGCTCTCTGTTGAAACTTTCGAAATGACTAATCGCAAAAACGATTACATACGACGTCTGACTGCTGGATATTTATAAATGTTGTTCTTCACATGCGCTCTATATTGTCTGTAATGTAAAACACATCGTACGCATGCTTATCTGTCTTGGCTAAAGTCTGTTTGGCCACAAGACCGTCCGAAGCTCCGAACTGAAAGTGAAAGAGGAGGGGCTGCTGTCCACAGTTTACTTTTCAGGAAGTTGTTGTTTCACATAACTGAGGTGTTCTGTGTTCTGCGTACGTGTTCTGCGTTCGCGTGTGTTTACTTTCTCGCGATATGTGTCAAAACTTTTCTTTAATCTGCTTCGGTTTAAAAAAAACGGGATGTTTAAAGTGTTAAGTAGTCAACGAAGTGTGCTGTTTGGTTTTTATGCTCTAAAACATTCTTTGAGGCGTTATACAGTCGTAATAAACTGTAATGTCCCCTGTCACTTTGAGAGGTAGTATCTCTCCTAAACTGCCCAGGTACAGACTGTAGATTGTTTCGACAGATGGTTATGATCGTTTCATGAACTCTCTGTACAAAACTGAAAGGAAAATGATAGTAGGAGAGTCTCTAGTCTTTGCTGTGAACAAGAAAAACGTAAGCCGCTTTCAAAATAGTAAAGTAGCCTAGATGCAGAACCACATTTCAAACACCAGAGGGAACTCTAGTATCATCCAAGGCTTATAGGAATCTGACTTTTTAATAATGTGCATTTTCTTTGAAGTAGTATCTTATTTAGACGCGTGAAGGTCAGGATGATGATGCATCTGCCAGAGAACTATTAACAGAAACTGAAAAACTGACGAATTTAAATAACATTTTATAGTTTAAATAATTGAGACTGACTCATCCAATCACTGATGGCATCCTACACCAAAAGTTTTATTTAAAAAATCCCAAACACTAATTTAGCCTATTTGTTTTTATGTACCACTTTTATTCAATTTTAATATTTCATATGCATCCAAGATTAATATAATTTTTACATAACTAAGAAATGGACTGTATTAAAGTCAAGTTCATCTAAAATTTACAAGATAAAAGAAGACTAAAACTCTGAGGTAGCACATCAAGTCGTCTTCTAGTTTCTGAATAACAGTTTTAAAAATGTTAGATTGAAGATGATTCCAGATATAGCAGTTAACACAAAAGCCAATTTACCTACTTCAATTCAGGACAGAAAGAGTATTTCAGTTTTGAGAAGGAGGGGAATATATTTCTCAAAATCATTTTTTTTTTTTTTTGTTGAATAAGAAAATTAAAACTAGACAATAATCTTAAAATGGTTTCATGAATAAATAGTATTAGTGCATTTGTGAAGTTTATAGGTTTTCAGTCTGCTATGAATCCAAAAACATCATGATATACTGTACATCATCCAGAGGAAAAAAAAAGATAAAATGGACCGAATTTATACACCATATTTTGATCCAGTACAGAAAAAGTCTTGCAATTTTTAAATGAGAAATCCACAAATTTCTCATTGATAATAAAAAAAAAACAATGAAATTACAAAATATATAAGAGCATAGCAATTCATCAAATGTATATGGATAAAAAAATATGTCATCTATGTTATTAACAGTTATAAAAATGTGAAAAACAAAATGTGTCATGTCACCATAGGGGAGTGGAGTCTTACTCTTTTGATCAAAGCCAGCAAACTGTGTCAGTTTTTACACTCAATCTCAGTAAGTTCAAATAAACATTTAATATTTATGTATAGCTTATGGTGTTCAGCTCATTTATTTTTTAGGGTAATATTTGTTTGAGATCTGTCAATTTCTATTAATAATTTTAATATGATTTACACAATATTTAATTGTTTAGTGAGCTACTTCTGTCTTAAACTGTCAGAAAATAATTATGATTCACACAGAGCCAGTTCTGTGAAATTAATATACTGAGCAATTTATTGTTTTCGTTCTGATGTTTTAACTGCCCAAGTTAAGCAATAGTCTTCTGATAATGATAGTCAGTAGTCAGCTGATATATATATATGACATGTATGGCGGACTGAGGGAAGGTGCTGTGACGGATTGGTGTTGATCTTTTGTGGGGGTGTTGAGCTTTGATGAGACCAGAGCTGATCAGCATGATGTCTCCATCCCTTAGCAGATCTGTCATCCACTGCTTTAAAAACAGGGCCACTTTTGCTCCTTGCTAGTTGTAAAAAAGTTACACTTTGATTTTTACTTCCATACATTTGAATTGCATCTTGTTTGATATTGAATTCCAATCCCTAAACTAAAATTTAGAGGCACAATATGTACAATTATTTTCATTAATATAATAATAATAAAAAAAAACATTAGAACAGTGTTATATATTTTGCTGGCTTAAGCTGACATTATCTCAAATGTTTTGAAGTATGTTCACATTCAGAGAAATAAGCAATTCCATGCTAATGATGTCATGCAGCCTTTTTTTCTCTGGTTTGGTTTCAATGAAAACAGAGAAACGCCCTTTTAATATGTTGTTCATTTTATTAGACTGCACAGAGCAGCATTATAACAGAACCCTAAGGGGCAATGAAATCAAAATATTTTTTTTAGATGTTACAATCAGTATTGTTAGTTTTTAAGATATCTATTAGCTAGTGTGCTCCAAAACAGTGACAAAATTCACATTTAGAAGATATAGAACTGATATAAACATGTGCAGCTTGTAGTTTGTCATCTTCCGCCTAAATAAATCAATGGTTTTATTCACATCACCTCACACTACAGTTTCTCATCAAATCTTAACCAATCAAATGCTTTCTAGTATCTTACATGTCCCACCATCTTCAAGGAGCTTCACATTTGCATTTCATTTGATGCACTTGAGCTCAACCACTCTCACTAGCAGAGTAATGATAAAACAAAGTTTTTTAAGGGGAGGAGCTACACTATGTCCCACCCTGTCTTCGTGTTTCAGTTGAGTTTACATGAAACATCAAGTAAAATACATATTTCAAAGCATAGGACCTTTAAAAATTCTTTTAAGTGATCATACTGGGCTGAATTTGCCCCCACACGTTCAGAAGTGGAAGAATCGTAAGCGGTTGAGAGTAGCACAATAAAATCTCAGTGGTTTTCATGTCGTGTCTCTCCTCAGCAATAGCTTCAGCTGTCTCATTTTTCAGCTTTATTCTGATTCACACTATTATAATTAACAAGCAAGGATATAACAAGATCTCGGGCTACGAGATCTCGCGAGAATAAATCGCGCCAAGTTTTATTGTCTAGATGAAAAGTTGTCTCGTGAGTTGTGATGTTGTGATGGAGCTTGAGGGTGAATTTAGCAGTGAAGATTGGAGGCAGGATTGGATTATAACAGCACATCAAGTGCTTTGCATTCACCTGACAGGCTGGCCTCGGAGTTGTGTGTCACTCGTTTGGGGTGGGTGAGTGTGACCTAACTGATTTTTTCTTCACCGGAGTTCAAGGGTTGCCGCCAAAAAAAAAACAAAAATGACATGATTACATAAAAAAATATAAATATATTTATATGTGGAAAGGAGAGATTCTCAAGCCGGTAGAATTTATAACTAAATATTTAGCAGTGTTTGTATGTCCTTTATGGCTTAATTCATTCATTACAAGTTGATTTAAAAAACACCTGAACTGTTTTACAGTTTGTGATTTTTCTTTAGTTTAATAAGATATATATTTTCCATTTGTATATTTTGCTAATATTTAAAATTATAACTAAACACTATTTCTATATATTAGCCAAATATTTTGCAGTGTTTGCATAAAATTCATTAAAATTGAAGTAAAATAACATTCATTACAAGTTGATTTTAAAAAAGCACCTAAATAATTTTGTAATTTGATATTTTTTCAGTTAAATTAAATATTTTCCATTCATGTATTTCATTATTAAAAATTTCTTTAAAATAGTGTAAAAATCACGTCTCGTCTCGTTCTTGTGAACCCAATGTCATCTCTCATCTCGTCTCATAGTGTAAGCATTTCGTCACACCCCTATTAACAAGTTTTGAATACTTTAGCTCATTCATTAACATGGTTTTTGCATGAGTCCTGTAGGATGTAATGAGGACCACAACTCCAATGATTCCAAACTCAGTCACAGAGTCATCAAACTACATCTTTGTTTGTATTGAATGTGATCTCCACATTGACTGTGATCTCCACAAAAATTACACATAAGGTACATAATGTACCTTAAATATTCATTCATTCATTTTCTTTTCGGCTTAATCCCTTTATTAATATAGGACCGCCACAGTGAAATGAACCGCCAACTCATCTAGCAAAAGTTTTACGCAGCCCATCACTGGTAAACATCCAAACACACATAATCACATACATACACTATGGACAATTTAGCCTACCTAATTCACCTGTACCGCATGTCTTTAGACTGTGGGGGAAACCGGAACACCCAGAGGAAACCCACGCCAACACAGGGAGAACATGCAAACTCCACACAGAAATGCAAACTGACCTAGCCAAGGTTCGAACCAGCGACCTTGCTGTGAGGCAAACATGCTACCCACTGCGCCACTGTGCAGCCCACTATTAAAATTCTATAATGCTAATGGTTTACAGTAACTCCAGTCCTGCACCACAGCAATGGGCATTATCATCTATTAGGAGAGACAACCATTTACTCTCTGTAGTATCTCTCAATGAACTTGTCTATCACTGGGAATGTGGTGCATTTCTAGCATAGCGTTGGACACAGAAGAACAGTCGTACAGTGGCCAGCTGACAAGTGCTGACAGTGACAACACAATTAGGCAGTGATTCAGCTGAGGAACAGCGCAATAGTGGGCCGACAGATGCTGTAAACAGATTACATTCGGTGCGCTACAGCTTTATTACTTTCCTGTTTCATCTCACATTTTTTTACGCTTTTCATCTGCATGCATGCTTAAAACTCTTGTCAGGAAAAAAAAAGAAATTCAAAAAGCCTCTGAACTAGGAAAGAAATTCAGGATTTTTAGCTGTGAAGAAAATAAAATTAGATTTCCTGGTTAAATCAGACAGATTGGCATAATACCCAGCTGATGAAAGCAGCGCTAAAAAACATTCTTTATACCAAAAGCGTGTGAGAAAGAGATATGTGTCTCTCCAATGTGCCTTTGTCATTGATCTACATCATAAAAATACGGGGAAGTGAGTTGTTTTGTTCTTTTATTGCTGGTTGTTTATCCCATGATTGCTTTATCTCATATTTCCTCATGTGCCGTGATTCGTTTGTCATCTTCCTTATCGGTGTGGAAAATAAAGCTCAGACGAGTCCGACAGTGACAGATGTAATGACAAACAGTGAGGTTGTCTTGTTGATTTTCCTCAAAGACTGTAGGGGGACAGAGAGATGGGATCTGACAGAAATGCTATTATTCTAATCAGAGAAGAGCCATGAATTGAACTCCCTTAGCAAGGATGTTCTTGTCAATTCTGATTTAGTAAAACTGTGGCTTACTCACTAATCACAAACAGTGAAAGATGAAGGTTTTTTACTCTCCCTTCAACATGGCGATAAAGGTTTGTATACACTGTTAAAAAAAAATCTGTTAATTATTAATTAACAGTTTCCGTATTTTGGGCGACGCAGTGGCGTGTTAGGTAGTGCTGTTGCCTCACAGCAAAAAGGTTGCTGGTTCGAGCCTCGGCTGGGTCAGTTGGTGTTTCTGTGTGGAGTTTGCATGTTCTCCGTGCGTTCGCGTGGGTTTTCTCCGGGTGCTCCGGTTTCCCCCACAGTCCAAAGACATGCAGTACAGGTGAATTGGTATAGGCTAAACTGTCTGTAGTGTATGAGTGTGAATGGGTGTGTATGGACATTTCCCAGAGATGGGTTGCGGTTGGAAGGGCATCCGCTGCGTGAAACATGTGCTGGATAAGTTGGCGGGTCATTCCGCTGTGGTGACCCCTGATTAATAAAGAGACTAAGCCGAAAAGAAAATGAATGAATGAATGAGTTTCCATATTTTGTGATTCAGTTTGTT